CATGGAAAATTTGGGGGTTTGTTGCAATATAGTTTTGCGCAATACTGGCGTTCGGATACTTTTGCTCGCTACTGTAAATCGAGAAAAAACTTTTAATATACGGATTTAAATTTATGGAAATATTGTGTTGAAGGCATATTTGAAACTAAAATAATTTTTGAATCAAATACATGTAGTTTGACTATTACTAATAAATAATGAGATACTAATACAATATCTTTTGTGCTACATTTTTATAATTTATTTTTTTCTTTTATCGCATGTCAAAGAGAATATTAATTTAACAATTTAATATTATTATAACATTGAAAATATATTAAATAATGTTTATACACTTTACGCTCGTTACATCGAGCTGTCAGCTGAAAAATTAATCTTCTCTGCTATGACGTTATTAAATTAAAATAGCAGTAGAAAATTTCCAGTCCACGCATTGCTCCTCGATCTGATCCATTTTAACAAGGATTAATTTGAATTTATTTTTTTATTGATATTGCTCTTTATTAATGGTCGTGTGGTTTACATTTTCTAATAATTCAAATGTTATTTAATATTATTGAAGCAGTAACATTTGCAATATCGTATATTTTAGTTATGTACATTGTGTTGAACATATGGATCGTATGAGTATTTAACATAACGAAATGCTAGGATCCGAAACAACAGTGATAATTATTAATGCTTTTCATTCATAATGAAAATGTATTACCTTGATCTTTTAATTTACTTTGATTAATCAAACAAATACATTGAATATTGTGTAGTATACGCTTTGTAAATATGTTGTTGCGAAAAATTATATAAAGACAGTCTGCTTCGAGAATTTACGTTATTCCAACTATGAGCAGGCAAGATATTTTTTCCACAACTATGAGCGAAGTTCATTTCGTTTCTAATAATAAAGATGATACGGACGAACAAGTATTCACGCGATACTATGAATTTCCCTCTTCACATGGCATTAAAGGTCTAAAGAAATGCAGTCCGTTTCTTCTCTTTCGCAGAGAGGTCAGTAAAGCTTTGAAGAAGGGTGGAAGAGTAAAAAGATCAGGGGAAATCTCTACATTCGCGTCAAAATTGTGGAAAAAATTGGGTCCCGATGAAATAGATCAATACCATCGATTATCGGCCGCATTATCTCGTCAACATGCCAGTTGGTCTATCAGCTCTTCGACGCAATACCTGCAAACATCAATTCCTAATGCTGCTGCGATTCATAGATCATCTCGTCAACATATTGATGTGCAAAATGTCTCTTCGATGGAATTACCTCATCAAATTATCGGCTCTTCGATGGAACCAACATCAATTCCTAACTTTATCTTGCCTGAATCCGAAAAATTTATGTTTTCAAAAGAAATCTGGGCCGACACCAATTCAGACCTATTTGGTCTACCATTAGTAAATAAGCCAAATTCACAAACCTTTAGTATTGATGATAAATTATATTAAGTTAATAAATTATAAGCGAGGAAACTATGTGTAAACTTATATTGTAAACAATCTTTTTTTACTTCGTACAGCGAATATGTTTTTTATCATATGATTTTCTATCGTATATTTTAAGTTTTATATTTAAATAAGTCAATAAAAATATGGAATTCGTTTTTACAAAAAGCTATCATATCGATATTACTATTGTAGTTTCACCTACTTTTGATAGCGGGATCGGGTCAATATGAGAAGAAAAGGAAATTTTAACTTTTGATAAAGTGAGCAAAAAGTGATTTCGTAGGAAAAGTTGCACCGCAGCTGAATTTAAGAAAAGTCATCAACATAATAATATAAATTTTACTATTGAGGAAAGATTTAGAATTAAATTTGTTAACGTTATTACGATTTTTAAGGAAATTCTTATTTTAATCTATTTTTAGAATTTAATATTACATTTTGTTGTATACGTTACGTAATACATGTATGGCATAATTAGTCTTTGAAAATTAATTAGATTTGACATTTAACGTTAATTAATAAATTTGGATTCACAATGCATATATCATGTGAGTGCGAAATTTACTTAACCGTACTTTTTATTAACAAAATGTTATCGCATGATAAATGCATATTTTTATTTTATCGATTCTATTTCTCTCTCTCTCTCTATCACTTTGCCCGCTCGTTTTATTAGCCGCTTGCTTTTCTCGCTTTGTTTGCTCGCTTTGCTCTTTCGCTTTACTCTTTACCCACTCACTATGCTCGTTTGCTCCTCTCATATCTTGTAAACTTTTGATTACTATTATATACAAATAACCTGATCAAAGTGTTCGATAATAAACATAGTCAGACCACTTGTAGCTTACTTTTTGCATTCGCCATGTTGTTACAATGATTCAGCTGTATTCATTATTTGATTTTAAAATCTATGCGTTTCAACCTTAAATGTTTACTTAAGCTATGAGAGTGACATTTAATTCGTATTATGTTTACATAATCAATACAAAATTTAGAATATAAATTTGTCAATTTCAGAGTTTGATTTAAGTTAACATTAGTGGTACGTACCAGTGATGTCGTTTATAAATTTCGTAATGTAGTCCTGTATTTGTGCAATAAATGAAAAGATTCAAATTGGACTTTGCTGTATACATATTGATTTATCTTTTTGAGAAAGTGGCCAATTCGCAACGTATCGAGCACTACACTTATTCTTCGTTTCGAGTTTAACTTCTGGATTAAGCAAAATATAAAATTATTGTTATTCTCGTGAAAAAACTCAAATGCTCAACCATCAGATATAGGATAACTGTCTCTTCATTTTTGTCTTATTTAATCGATAAATCTTAAATAGATTATTTGTCCAGCTCTACATGTTTTGTATTTATGCTTCAAGTTTTAATTTTTTTTATTTTATTATTTGGAAGCATTTTATAAATGAAAATTTAATACAAAAAATTTATAATAATAAGCAATTATTTTAATCATTTAAAAAAAATAAAAAATAATTTTATAATATTAGTAATCTCGCAATATAAGGTTTTATACATGTCTACCGTATTTCATAAAGAAAAAGACTAAAAATAAAATAAAATCGTTAGTTTGTGAATTAAAGTCGATAAAATCTTGGTCTACAATACTTTATTTTATTATTCAATAAAGATACTAGAGAGTTTTTATCAATCCTTTGTTTAATTATAATAATTATATACAATGGAGGCCAAAAGTAATGCACCAGGGGCTAAATTTATTAATAAAACATAGTGAAAATCGAAATTTTCTCTCTATATTAAAATTTACAATTTTATTAAG